TCTAAAGCCTTAAAGTTTTTGGCCAAATATACGTTTTCTCTGAACTAAAATTTAATGTGCTAACTATTTAAGTACATCAGAATAATACACAAGCACCAGAAATGACCTCGAAACCCATGAAATTGGCGGTAATTAGCATTGCAAAAATGGTACAAATATTCTAAAATCATTTGAACATTTTCTAAAAGCTATTTGAACAAGTTATAATCAAGATATCAAATTTTTGGTTAACTTGGTCCTTAAGCAGCACATTCAGGAGTACCTATACTGAAATTTTGAACCAAATCCATTTTGGCCGAAATGACGAAAATTGTAAGTCTAAAGCTTTAAAAGGATTTTTGGCCGAAATACTTTTCTCTCTGACTAAAATTTAATGTGTGCCTAACTATTTAAGTACATCAGAATAATACACAAGCGCAAGAAATGACCTCGAAAACCCATAAGTGGCGAGGTAATTAGCATTGCAAAAGTAATTAAAAATATTCTAAAATCATTTGAAATTTTCTAAAAGCCATTTGAACAATTTATAATCAAAGACCAAATTTTTGGTTAACAGATCCTTAAGCCCAGCACATTCAGGAGTACCTATACTGAAATTTTGAAGACAAAATCCATTTTGGCCAAAATGACAAAATTGTAAGTCTAAAGCCTTAAAAGTTTTTGGCCAAAAATACGTTTTTCTCTCTGAACTAAAATTTAATGTGCCTAACTATTTAAGTACATCAGAATAATGCACAAGCACCAAGAAATGACCTCGAAAACCCATAAGTGGCTGAGTAATTAGCATTGCAAAAAGTAATTAAAATATTCTAAAAATCATTTGAACATTTTCACCAAAGCCATTTTAGACAAAGTTATAATCAGATATCAAATTTTTGGTTAACAGATCCTTAAGCAGCACATTCAGGAGTACCTATACTGAAATTTTTAGACAAAACCCATTTTTGGCTGAAAATTACAAAAATTGTAAGTCTAATATTGCCTTAAAGGATTTTGGCCAAAATACGTTTTCTCTCTGAACTAAAATTTAATGTGCTAACTATTTAAGTACATCCAGAATAATGCAAGCACCAGAAATGACCTCGAAAAACCCATAGAGCGAGTAAATTAGCATTACCAAAAGTAATTAAAATATTCTAAAATCATTTGAACATTTTTCTAAAAGCCATTTGAACAAGTTATAATCAAGATATCAAATTTTGTTAACAGATCCTTAAGCAGCATTTTCAGAATTACCTATACTGAAATTTTGAACAAAATCCATTTTTTGGCAGAAATGACGAAAATTGTAAGTCTATAGCCTTAAAGGATTTTTGGCCAAAAATACGTTTTCTCTCTGAACTAAAATTTAATGTGCCTAACTATTTAAGTACATCCAGAATAATACACAAGCACCAAGAAATGACCTCGAAAACCCATAAGTGGCGAGTAATTAGCATTGCAAAAGTAATTAAAATATTCTAAAATCATTTGAACATTTTCTAAAAGCCATTTAGACAAAGTTATAATCAAGATATCAAATTTTGGTTAACAGATCCTTAAGCAGCACATTCAGAATTGCCTATGCTGAAATTTTTGAACAAAATCCATTTTGGCCGAAATGACGAAAATTGTAAGTCTATAGCCTTAAAGGATTTTTGGCCAAAAATACGTTTTCTCTCTGAACTAAAATTTAATGTGCCTAAATATTTAAGTACATCCAGAATAATACACAAGCACCAAGAAATGACCTCGAAAACCCATAAGTGGTGAGTAATTAGCATTGCAAAAGTAATTAAAATATTCTAAAAATCATTTGAACATTTTCTAAAAGCCATTTGAACAAGTTATAATCAAGATATCAAATTTTGGTTAATAGATCCTTAAGCAGCACATTCAGGAGTACCTATACTGAAATTTTGAACAAAATCCATTTTTTGGCCGAAAATGACAAAAATTGTAAGTGTAAAGCCTTAAAGGATTTTTGGCCAAAAATACTTTTTCTCTCTCAACTAAAATTTAATGTGCCTAACTATTTAAGTACATCCAGAATAATACACAAGCACCAAGAAATTACCTCGAAAACCCATAAGTGGCGAGTAATTAGCATTACAAAAGTAATTAAAATATTCTAAAAATCATTTGAACATTTTCTAAAAGCCATTTGAACAAGTTATAATCAAGATATAAAATTTTGGTTAACAGATCCTTAAGCAGCACATTCAGGAGTACCTATACTGAAATTTTGAATAAAATCCATTTTTTGGCCGAAAATGACAAAAATTATAGAGATCCTAAAAGCCTTAAGGATTTTGGCAAAAGCAAATATCTCTGAACTAAAAATTTAATGCGCCTAACTATTTAAGTACATCTAGAATAATACACAAGCACCAAGAAATGACCTCGAAAACCCATAAGTGGCGAGTAATTAGCATTGCAAAAGTAATTAAAATATTCTAAAAATCATTTGAACATTATCTAAAAGCCATTTGAACAAGTTATAATCAAGATATCAAATTTTTGTTAACAGATCCTTAAGCAGCACATTCAGGAGTACCTATACTGAAATTTTGAACAAAATCCATTTTTGGCGGAAAATGACAAAAATTTTAAGTCTAAAGCCTTAAAGAATTTTTGGCCAAAAATACGTTTTCTCTCTGAACTAAAATTTAATGTGCCTAACTATTTAAGTACATCCAGAATAATACACAAGCACCAAGAAATGACCTCCGAAACCCATAAGTGGCGAGTAATTAGCATTGCAAAAGTAATTAAAATATTCTAAAAATCATTTGAACATTTTTCTAAGCCATTTGAACAAGTTATAATCAAGATATCAGAAATTTTGGTTAACAGATCATAAAGCAGCACATTCAGAGTACCTATACTGAAATTTTGAACAAAATCCATTTTTTATGGCCGAAATGACGAAAATTGTAAATCTAAAAAAGCCTTAAAGATTTTTTGGCCAAAAATACTTTTTCTCTCTGAACTAAAATTTAATGTGCCTAACTATTTAAGTACATCCAGAATAATACACAAGCACCAAGAAATGACCTCAAAAACCCATAAGTGGCGAGTAATTAGCATTGCAAAAGTAATTAAAATATTCTAAAAATCATTTGAACATTTTCTAAAAGCCATTTGAACAAGTTATAATCAAGATATCAAATTTCGGTTAACAGATCCTTAAGCAGCACATTCAGGAGTACCTATACTGAAATTTTGAACAAAATCCATTTTTTGGCCGAAATGACGAAAATTGTAAGTCTATAGCCTTAAAGGATTTTGGGCCAAAAATACGTTTTCTCTCTGAACTAAAATTTAATGTGCCTAACTATTTAAGTACATCCAGAATAATACACAAGCACCAAGAAATGACCTCGAAAACCCATAAGTAGCGAGTAATTAGCATTGCAAAAGTAATTAAAATATTCTAAAAATCATTTGAACATTTTCTAAAGGCCATTTGAACAAGTTATAATCAAGATATCAAATTTTGGTTAACAGATCCTTAAGCAGCACATTCAGGAGTACCTATACTGAAATTTTGAACAAAATCCATTTTTTGGCCGAAAATGACAAAAATTGTAAGTCTATTGCCTTAAAGGATTTTTGGCCAAAATACTTTTTCTCTCTGAACTAAAATTTAATGTGCCTAACTATTTAAGTACATCCAGAATAATACACAAGCACCAAGAAATAACCTCGAAAACCCATAAGTGGCGAGTAATTAGCATTGCAAAAGTAATTAAAATATTCTAAAAATCATTTGAACATTTTCTAAAAGCCATTTGAACAAGTTATAATCAAGATATCAAATTTTGGTTAACAGATCTGTGCAACAGCTACAATCAGGGTACATATACTGAAATTTTGAACAAAATCCATTTTTGGCCGAAGCCAATAAAATTGTAAGTTTAAAACCTTAAAGGATTTTTGGCCAAAAATACTTTTTCTCTCTGAACTAAGCTATGGCTGTTTTCTTATAAAAATATATTATATACAAAACAGTCTGGTGCTGGGAAGTTGCTGTGCAGGAGCTTCTTTAGAGGAGGTGTTGCGTGTTGCAGGGCTTACACTATATACACGTCCAGCGAACGTAGAACGGAAGTAAGCTCTCTGGTGTCGACCCCCCCCCCCCTAGTCTAGGCGGCTAGATTAGTCAGAGAAACTTGGCGCAACTCTAGGCAGCTAGGCTTGTCAGAGGAACTTCGTCGTGGCAGTTGTGGGGAGAGTATCCAACTACAAGGTCTAAATTAGTACTCTGAGGCCATGCTGTAAGGATCACAGTAACCAAAATTTGATATCTTGATTATAACTTGTTCAAATGGCTTTTAGAAAATGTTCAAATGATTTTTAGAATATTTTAATTACTTTTGCAATACTAATTACTCGCCACTTATGGGTTTTCGAGGTCATTTCTTGGTGCTTGTGTATTATTCTGGATGTACTTAAATAGTTAGGCACATTAAATTTTTAGATAGGGTATAATAATATCGAAAAACGAATATCGGCAACACAATGGTCTTGGGGGCAAAACGGTTATAGACGTATTGTACAAATATTAACCCAACCACTCACAAAGACCTCAGTGATCAGATGCGGCTTATCAGCGTGAACCAATATCAACATTTTAATGAATAAAACAAATTATATTATTTACACCTAACGAACTAAAACATGGTCAAATAAAAGTAATCACCCCTCGGAGAGGTTCTACAGTAGTGAGAGGTCAATAAAAAAATAAACAAACTACCTGCCAACGCCACCTGTTAACTATTATATGCAATGTTAATTTCACAAACTTTTAATATTGAAAACACGTCGCCTGCAATTGCTTCTTAATATGATATAACCTTAAGGAACTTTGATTCCTAAAACTAACGTCGAATAAAGGTCTATTTACGAACGCCGGTCAGTGTTAACTACGAAATAATTCAAGCACAGTGCCCTGAACAGCTGAAACCTTGATATATTGATTTACCCTTAAAAGGTGAAGTTTGTTCACTTGACCTTACCTTTATGTAAGATTCCGACATGATGAGTAGTAAGGGAATGAAAAGGAGAAATGAAAATGTTCCAGAAGTTCCTAACACGAGCTACGGACCTGACTGTGGCCAGCGTACACTACAGCGTCCACACGTGCAACAGTCTTGTGCTCCAGAGATTCGGAATTTTTTTACTAAGTATCCTACGCCTACCCTGATTCTCTCAACCCCCAGTTCATTTTTTAGAATTATTTATTGTATTAATATTGTACAAGTTAATAAGAAAAAAATGAATAATAACGAAGGGACTTACAGCTTTAAAAGGCATATTATACCATTAAGAATAATTGTCTTTAACTGGGTAATTGGCATCTTGTTCCGGACATACCAACAGATGCGACTGACAGTATGCCCAACCTTCCCGCCAGATTTTTACCATTGTATTATTTTATCCTCTTCACCACTGATCGGCTCGTGATTCCTGTGTGTGTTGGTGTGCGGATTAGTGGATGTCATGATTATGACCTGACCTCATGTTTAGTAAGGTCACCCCTGTGGCGCACCCAGGGGGGTTTCCTGGTTGCCAGGATCCCCCCCCCCTCCAGGAACTGCATGGTGCGGCCAACCCGAATCCAGGTAAAAAAGTCACAGGAAAAAAGTCACAGGAAAAAAAGTCAGGAAAAAAAGTCACAGGAAAAAAAGAAAAGTTAACTATCGAATTCTCAAAAAATTTTAAGGTTAATATGTCAATCAGTTTCAGTAAAGGAATATGCAGAACCTAACCTAACCTTACCAACCACCATAAATTAATTGTGACTTTTTTCCTGACTTTTTTTCCTAGCCAAAATTGTGACTTTTTTCTGTGACTTTATTACCGGCCACCGCCAACCCATTCCTGACCTGGCGACACCTTAGTAACACGAAGGTTGGGTCAGCTTACCTGACCTCACCCCACGCCAAGGTAACTTACACCACCTCTGCCATTCCCATGCACCTGAATGCACTTAATATACAGCACCACAAGCGTAGCTGGGGGGGGGGGGCGGGCGGCACTTTTGGGGGGGCGGCACTTTTGGGTCTGCTCATCACCCATATCTGCAGCTACTGGAGACGTTAATCCTTCCCTTTGTATCGGCGGCAAGTTAATCCTTGTCGTGTCTGACCTAACACCTGACCCACATCATCACGGCCACGTCATGAGCTACACACCTTGCTATGCGCCCCCCCCGCCACACACACAACCTGTAACCTGTTGAGGATTAAGGAAACAACTTCAAACAAGTACGCCAGTGAGCTCATGTGGTGTGGGTCAGGTGTTAGGTCAGACACGACGAGGATTAACTTGCCGCCGATACAAAGGGAAGAATTAACGTCTCCAGTAGCTGCAAAACCATGCAGTCTCGGGTCATATCAGTTCATGTACAGCCGACCAATCCACCAGTTACAAGCAATTCACTTCAGTTCTCCACAAGTCTCCATCGTGACAAGACGAGGGGAGGCTAGACGACTTTTAAGTTCTCTTGTGTTTTCGATCCAGTTATTTACTTCGTTGGAAGACATAATACTATAAGGTAAGAAATATTAAAGTATTGGTTAAAAAATATTGATGTGACTTTTGCTGCGGTACTGAGATTAAATATTAAGATTTTGTTTCACAGCATTGCGATTTTATACTAAGACACTATCCTCACTGGGGTACAGACAAAAGCCCCCCCGACAAAAGCCACCCAGACAAAAGCCCCCCAGACGAAAGCCACCCAGACAAAAGCCCCCTACTTTGATCGGGGTGGCTTTTGTCTGACAACAGTAAGGCAAACTATTTAATATATATATATATATATATATATATATATATATATATATATATATATATATATATATATATATATATATATATATATATATATATATATATATATATATATATATATATAAGAGTGAGTCACTGTGCAATATGTATTTTTTGTAGGGTCACGGGGGGGTGGGGGGGGCGGCAAACTCAAGGGCCGCCCCGGGTGGCACACACTCTAGCTACGCCACTGTGTAACAGCACTGCCAAATATTGAGATTTAATGTGTTTTTTTTTTCATTTTCTCATCTACATTGTATATTTTCTATAGATTTTACATGTTTATAAATTATTTTTCCATCCACTTTCACATATTTGATGATTTCGCAAGTGTGCTTCAAATAACTTCAAAAACTGTTAAGCAAATTTTATGAGCTCTGTTAGTGTTCAATGTTAGTTAGTCATTATATACATACAAGTATTAAAATGCTTAATGATTGTTACACATTCAGTACAGTAATAACCATATTATATACTCTATATTTAGTGCAGTAAATTCATTTATTTTAAAATTGTGTAAATAAAAAAAAAATATGACTTCTATTATCCTGTAATATAAAGTCTATATACAAAGATTAGGATGCTAAATTACACCATCTTCAACCTCAGATTATTTCCTAAGATTTCTGGGTGCGCCCCTGCACCCTGTGTACTTAAGCCTCTCTCCGTCTATGTAATTCAGTTGCCTCAGAAGATGTCTCGAATAAGGGGAATCAAGTACGACGTCTTCTTAAGAGAAAAAAACAACAGGGTCATACTATCACTTCTCCACTTGAATTTGTTACTTTGCTCAAACCATACCATGATGATTTCATAGACCTGTTTTAGCTGATGTGTGACTTTGCCAGTTAATTCTGCAGCATGTGAATGCAGTTTTTCCTGCCTGCTACTGACAAAAACTTACTTGAGGAACAGCAGTATTGATAGCAAAACAAGTGATATTGCAGTTATATTGTGGGGTATGAGATGTTGGGTTCACACTCAGAATGGGATGGAGAAAGGAAACTCACAATGTGCTCGCTGTATACATATTGTATTGGATGTACAATGCAGCTAGGTGCTGGGAAGGCAGCATGGTAACAAGCGTTGAGTAGAGAGCGCTGGTTGGTGAGGGTGCTCAGAGGACTAGCTTGTGGGTCGCCATGCTCGCCGGCGGGAGCGAGGGCCGCCAGGCAGGAGGAGGTGTTGCTTGCTGGTTGGTGTAGGTCGAAAGAGACGGTAGGTCACCACGAGGTCAGGTCTTATATAGCGGAGGTAGGCGTGGCTTAATAATTGACCTCCGTCATGTAAGGTGGCGCTGGTTGACCTAGACCACGAGGCATACACTGGGGAATTCGCGGGGTCGGCTACTCAGCGACAAACAGCGTTTGTAGGGGAGGAATCCACTACAATATCTATAGATTCGAAAAGAGCCAAGAGTCTGAATGTTGAACATATTATTGATACTTTTGCTGCCAACCACAACAACTGAAGAATCACACTGCTAAAACTTGTTTTCAGTTACCCTGAGGCTTCCACCTGAGAGTAGAATGAACATATGTTCATCTGTATATTAGTTATTTGAAATTTCTGTCTTTTTTTCAAATAAATTTCTTCTTCATTATTTTGATGGCTTGCATGATGTAATTTCATTGTGTAATTATTGTTCTTTTTTTATGTACAATTGCATGGTTTCTCAATCTTATGTAAAGTGTGAATAAATGCATTATTAGAAAACTGCTATTTTTATTGATATATAATACAGAATGCTCTAAGTAAAAATAGTGTGCTTGCTCTGCAAATGCAACTTTGAGACAAGTCCCCCTAGCCCCCTCTTCCAACCAGATTGCCACCCCTAAGCCCCTCCAATATGGAAATTCTGGAGCTGTCGCTGCCTGTGGTACCCCACTTATCACAGGTACACATGATAATTTTTTACCATTTATCACCACACACTGCAGTCATGCAGAAAGTCTCCGATCCACGCTAGGAAACTTCCCCGAATCCTGTACCCTTCCAATTTGATTCTCAGCCTTTCATGGGGTACTCTGTCAAAAGCCTTGTCAAAATCTAGGTACAGTATCTATTGTCGATATTTCAGCCTTGTTCTAGAATTTGAGTCCTAACATCCAGTACTTTGAGTACTGTAATTGCGTTAAGCAGGATTGTCTCGGCATAAAAGCTCACTGGTCTATAATTATTAGTGGAGTGACAATCGCCCTTCTTGAATATAGGGCTCATATAAGCCATTTTCCAGTCACCGGGGACCTTTTGCTCTTCCAGGCATTTGCAGAACTGGATCTTAAGCTCGTTACACAACACTGGGATGTACCATATCTTGGCCAGGACTCTTGTGAATCTTTAACTTTGACAGTGTATTTCTTATAACCTCATCCAAGAATACAATGTGGGTCAGCACTGTGTTAAACTGGCTTTCCTCAAATGCAAGAAGATTGTTCACATCCTCTTTTGTAAATACCAATGAAAAAAATTTGTTCAATGCCTCTGCCTTATCCTGGTCAGAATCTGAATAACTACCGTCTTCAAGCCTCAGGCCCGATATGCCTACTCACGTTTTTAATTTTGACTTTGCATAGTGATAAATAGCCTTTGGATTTGACTTGACTTCACTTCCAATCTGCCTCTTTGAACTCTTTTTCAACCCTTCTACACTCTGACTTTGCTTGATTCCTGGATCTGGCATACATCCTCCTGTCCTGCTCATCCCACATCTCAAAATCCTGAGTTTTCTTCTTAACTTTGGCAACCGCCACATGGTTCATGTGTAGCGGTCTCCTTGTATTCAGCATAGCATCTCCATTCTTATTCCTTAGTAAGTCAGGTCTACTCCTCATCATGTCATAATTTCCTTTGTAGTATTTGAACCTGGACCTGGTTTTGTCATGAACCAAGTACAGTAACAATTAAATCTGAAGGACAACATTATGTGGCGACTGGTGCCAACTGGGGCAAGGTGTTCCTGATTTGCCACCATACTCTCTTCGTTAGTTATGATGAGGTCCAGCGGTTTGGGTGTTTGCTCCCCTCTCTAGTGAGTCGGATCTTTAACATGTTGGAATAGAAAATTGTCTCTCAGAATTTCTACAAAAAGAGTGGCTGGATTATTTAGGTCGTTTGGCATAGATTAATTTCTCCAGTCGATATTGCCATAATTGAAGTCCCCCCATAACAAGGAGGTGGCTATGGTTTAGCGCCGTTACATTGTCAATTAAGTCTCTTAAGTTCCTCTGGTTTAATATGCTACAGTTTGGGGATCTGTAGATACATCCCACAATGAGTAAGTCTTTCCCCTTCAGTTTAATTTTACACATTGATTCTACAAAATCATCCTCTCCCCACACACTCACCTGGCTGGCTCTAAGGTCTTGTTTAGCATAGATAACCACACCCCTCTTACTTCTTCCTCTGTTCTGTCAGCTAATTCCTCAATCTTAGAGAGGATCTCTTTCGCAAACTGTTCCAGCTTGGCAACCAACACGGATTTAGATTCCTCTTTTTTTTTCGAAGTATCTCATTCCTCTGTGATTTTCAAACATCTCGTTTACTTTGATTTTGCAGTTAGGGCAATTCCAGCAACAGCCTTCATACTGAAATCGGCTATTTCTAAGTATCAGAGTACAGGTGTCGGTAACAGTATCTGGCAAAATCTTGGTTTCGGTATCAGCCAAAATACTGGTATTGGTACATCTCTAATTTTCAGTTCTCATTAATATTTCTTTGCTAAAATTTCAATCTGGCATCTTTATTTTGTTAGGCTTAGTTCTGGAGTATCTGCACTTTGTATGCATAGTGGATGTTAGTGCAATGACTGTAGTGTAGATGATAGCTAAAGGCTGTAGTATAGATGATAGCTAAAGGCTGTAATGTAGATGATAGTCTAAGGTCTGTTGTGTATATAATAGTGTAGCATCTGACAGCTTTGTTGGCTATCCTTGGTCAAATTGTCTCACTGTTTACCATTGTTGTATACTGTACCTGTTTACACTGTCTAGGCACATAATATACTGTACAGTGACCCCTCGGTTAACGAACTCAATGCGTTCCAGAAGGTCGTTCGTTAACCGAAACCATTGTTTCAATGGGTTTTTGGGTAATTGGTTCCAGCTCACCGAAAATTTCCTAAATTCAACAAAAATGGTAGAAAAGTTCACTTACTTTGAGGTGTGTATGTAGAAGGCTCCTGGATGATGATGATGTGCATTTGAAGTGGGAGGTGGAGGAGAAGGAAGAGGAGAAGGCATTGGGGTGGAAGAGAAGTCACCCCATGGCACCATTTCACCCATAAAATTTTAGTTCTCTTGGTGTATTTCAAGATTATTTTCTTTAAATCAACACTGCACTGCATTATATATTGTCAATATGTAAAATATATTTCAAAATGACCAATAATTTGCTTGGAACACACAAAAAAAGCATTTAGTTGAAGAGAGTCTCAAGCAAGATGTTACCTCCAGTAAAAACAGAGAGAGACTAACGCCTGTTTGCTGTGTTAAGAGGCTAGATGCCGCGCATTAAACTAGTCACTTTACCTTCAATTATGTTCAATAATTGTTAAAATGACTAAAAAATTGAATATTAAACTTTTAAAATTATTGAATATTATAAACTTCTTGATATTTACTAAAATAGTAAGGAATTTAAGCCCTAGAACCTATTAATGTATTGGCGGACTGATACTAAAGCTGGTTGCCCGGTCAGTGCAAGCGAAAACATGTTGAGGTCGGTTCGTAAGAAATTCGTTAACCGAATTGAAGATCCTTATGGAAGGCAGTTCGTTAACCGAAATTTCGTTAACCGAGGCGTTCGTTAAACGAGGGGTCACTGTATACAGTACCCTTATGGCCTATTTGCACCGTATACAGTAAAGTACCTACATGGTCTTTATCATGGTGACCTGTATAACTGCATAGTTTGTAAACAGGTATCCCTCATTTAATGGAAAAATGGAGATTCTTTGCTGCAAGTGCGCATCATTACAATACAGTAATCTAATGTGGCTAAGAAATAAAGAATATACAGTATAATATAAAACTATTAAATAAGAAAAATTAAGAGCATGAGTGTGTATTTGTGAGAAGTGAATGTATGTACTGAGGCAGTGAGCTATAACTGTAGCCAGCCACACTCTCCCTCCTTCCTACATGATGTTATGGCATACAGGCAGCAGCCACACACGTATCTTGAGTCAGCTGGGTGACCGACCGACTGAACTGTGTCATGAGTATACAGTACCAGTAATTGTGAGGAATATATAAAAATAATAATAATAAATAAAATAAAAGACTGATTTGTCATTTGGCAATCGTTTCACTCCACATGGGATAAGAGACTGCAAACAGCTGTGAGATCCCCCAAGCCCCCCTTCCTCTGCTGTCTGTGCGAACTCAGTCTCACCTGCTCTGAATACAACTGGGTGGCGAGTCAGCTACACAATTACATGCTACCTCCACAGATATTATTCCTTGTTATCACTTGTTTCGGATATAATTCCTTGTGATCTCACATTTAGGATATTACTCCTTGTTATCTCTCATTTAGCGATCATTTCACTTAATGATGGGTTTTTCAGGAACACATCCCATCATTAAACAAGGGATACCTATACTGCACATGCTTATCAAATTGTTAACCTATATGACAAATTTGCTGAATAAATATTATTATTAAAGTGTGGTGGATGCAGTGTAGATGACAGTGTAGTGCAGGGGTACCCAACCGGCGGACCATGGTCCGAATCCAGACCGCAGTTAGCTTTGGTGCGGACCCGAGCATCTCTCTCTCTCAAGAGAAAAACTTTATTTTCTTTTATGCACATCAGTAATTATCAGTATTTTCTAATTAGTATATCCTGTTTTCAGTTAACTGATTTAAAATGATACACGACACATTTTTCTTTACTGCAGATAATTAGTTTTTCCTTTTGTTCATCTCCCCCTCCCCAGGTTGCCTCTTCAGCAAGATGGATGGATGGTTACTTTTTTGGCTTCTTTTGATACATGGGTTCTTGTTCATTTCTTTAATTCATTGCACTGTCAACAGATTTGAGAATATAAATGCATGTAGATGGAAATAAACTGAAATATGTACTCTTCATTTGTATGTTATTGCCTCATATTATATGAAGTCTCATCCGGACCTTGGCCATCTAGAAAATGTGTGTGACTGGACCTTCACATATAGTAATTGAGTACCCCTGGTGTAGTGGATGTAGTGTAGATGATAATGTAGTGGATGTAATGTAGATGATGGTTTAGTGGATACACTGTAGATGATAGTGCAATGGATGTAGCATAGACTGTGTAATGATGTAGTGTAGCTGATAGTGTAATTACTGACAAAGTTTATGAGCTATCCATAAAAAATAATTGGAGCAGAACGGTACCAGGTTTGAGAGATTTCCGGGTATAGAGAGGAATGGTCTCATTCCCGGAAAAAATTGCTCATCCCCAGAATTTTTTGGCTAAAGTATTGGTGAAAGTTTTCCTATAGTCTAAACTATGCATCTTGCAAAGAGCTACTTGACTGTAGTTGGACAGACACAGCTATATTTATTTATGCAAACATTCCTCAATACTTGTACTTTACATCAATGACTGGCTGATTACACATTTCATTGCTTGCTAAATCTTATCAATAGCAATTACAGTACATAGATTTTGATGTACAGGTACGATAATAATATACGTAACAAGTATCGCTGTGATCACTACAATATACCGTTAGGTTTTCTTAGCTAAAAATAGATCATACAGTGTTAACGAGAGTATATACAATACAAAGAAGGTACATGATGTGACAACAGCATAATGAGTAGGACTAGGGAGTGACTGTCAGTGCTAGGCATTCCCATGGTGATGGACCAAGGTCAAGATAAGAGGCTCCTTTATTTGGATTGCAAGAGTTCAGCAAGTATAATTTTTATATTTTCCATAGGTTTTAGACGATTCCTAGTTAATTTCTGCAAGATTTTTTTTTTCCAGCAGTGACGTGGCATTTAAATATAATATCTTGTGGCGACGTATGGGTTAAAGCAAGGTATGGTTAGATGGGTATCATTTGTATTAATAAATGTATAGCATACATAGTTGACCATCCTGTCATGGACACACCTGAGCTAAGCCTTCTCATCTGGAAGATACAAGCTTAGAAATGGAAGGTGTAGTATTTGAAAAATATATATACCCAGTACTGCTGTTGAGCCAGTAAGATTCTAATTCAAGTGAAGAGGTAATACTAAATCTCTTATTTATATTTATATTTATATTTTTTCATGGAACATAGCCAAAGCATAGAGGATTCACTGCTTAATGGAGAGCAGTTCTTGGTCACGCTGCCACAATCGCTTACACAGGAAATTGAGAATGGGTGCTGTGTGAGTTAGTTCATCTGAATAATCATCTGCAGTGTTGCCTAGTTTCAAAATTGGTATTCCATGAGTTGCTTCAAAGGATTCCATTTCTGCCTCAGTTACTTCTCGGTGTGAGAACTGATCATACCTGTCAAATAAATCAACATCTGAATATGACTCACTCGTCACAAAGGGTGAAGGACGAAACATTACTATAAAATTATATCTCTGACTCTGGGTTTCCTGTGCTACCTAATAACCCCAAATCAACATCATGCTTGTAAATATTCAGTATAGTGAACCCTGAAGGAATTACTTTTATTAGAATATAAATTAGATAATAATAGCCTTATTAATATAAATTAGTTAACAAAGGCCTTACTAAAATAAATTAAGCAACAAAGCCTTACTAATACAGTCAATTTATGGTAGAGGACAATTAGTATTTTTCTTCTGATAATTTCACATATACAAGACGATTTTCTTCTATGACACTTTTCTTGCATTTTAGCCACAACCGAGATATAGTGAATTGAAAATCAGAAAACTACTAACACGGCTATTATTGCATTTGTTGCCACCAACTAAATCTTTGCAAAAATAGTTTAGACATTTCTAAGACACTTTTTCTATGACATTTCCTTCGCAAACGACCTGGAAATGAGATATTTAATATGCCATGGTCAAAAACAAAGAGATTAAAAAAATTTACGTCCCCGTGAGTTAGTGTGGATTGCGAATGTGAGAAAAGGGTGAGGCATCGGTATCTCAGTCTCCTGCTAAGCTGTGAGCTTCGTTATTGCTATTTTTTAACTTGAAATTTCTGGTAGATAAACGTAATTTTTTTTCTATTTGGTTTACTCTGTAACATGCACACCCAATTGTTCAAACAGAATGTGTAAAAAATTTAATAAATAAATAATTATCATAAGTTCAAAAACATAAAAGGAATAAAAATTTCTTCTATCCGGAAATTGTGGTAGGGGTAGCACAGCAGGAGCTGCATTATTGTTATTTTTCAATTCATATTTTTGGGTAGATAAATGTTATTTTCGAAAAAATTAAAATAAATTAAAAAAATAAAAAATAAAAAGTTACATGCACACACAATTGTTCATACACAATGTGCAAAAAGTAATAATAATAATTATCATTAGGCCAAAAACATTTATTACCTGTGGGAGCTAGCAGAGAGATAGAAGAAGGCACAAAATGCTCCGCTGTTTCATATGTGACAAGATTGCCAAATGGTAATGCAGCTTTTTTTTTTCATTTATTCCTCACATTTACTGGTACAGTACAAGTATATATATTGTTTTATGTACAAATAATAACTTCTTCAAAACGCAAACCATCCTCTGGGTGACGTGACGCAGTTCAACTGCCTAACCTGGCAGTCACCTGGGACGGGCAGAACCTCCCACGCAACCTGCATGGGTCACACTTTTTATGCCATTCTGAGATTGCATCATCATATCTCAGAATATTGTGAGTTATATTCACATCACTTTTTCATAGCGGTGACAATGCGGGAAAAACATTCAGGTAGTGACCATCGTAAAACTGATTTTTAGCCATCGCAAAGTGGTAAATAGTGTTAATATTTTAATATAAAACTGATCAAGGGGCTTTCCATTTTGTGTTCCAATAAGTCTCAGCAGTGGGGTACTTATTATATGGGTCAGGGCCAGCCCACATTTTAATAAATGGTGCTGCCCTCACCAAGGGTTTGCTCAATGCTTTTGACAGGAAAACATTATAATCAGGCTCGAAAAATGCATATGCTCCTAGCAACTGCCATGCAGTGCAAGCATATGGATATGTTTTTGCAACTGGAAGAGGCAAATGACTGAGAAGATGACTTCTTTGAAGGAGACAGATGAGTACATAGCATTCACGACGGCCTATGAAAGCTTCTGCCACAACGCCAGAACTGTATGAACAAATGTGGACCTTTCAGCTTCATGCTTGGGAAAACTATTGACATTTTCTTTACTGCAAACTGCCAAAATTATGCATGCTACTATCTCTTGAAATATAGAAGCAGTGCTACCCCAAAGATGAAGAGAAAAACCATCACCTTGGAGATGACACTGGAAGTACTTCAGCATATCTACTAAGCTCTGGGGTTAGTGTCCTCAACAGTATGCACAATGAACAACCAAGCTGAGAAAATTAAGTAGTTGAGAGCCCCTTACTGAACAGTGACTTAAAAAAAAAGGGGAGATTTGTAACAACAAGAATTACTGGCAGAAGATAATTTTCACCTTGTCGCTACAGCAATAACAGCTGCACGATCTGTTGGCTGAGTAGCAGTTGACAGCAAACGTGGGAGCTCTATCCAGCTCTCTCTTTCAGTTGTTGAGAAACACAGTAGCACAGCATCAACTCCTTCACGACATGCCTAAGAGAAAATGCTGAAGGTATCACACTTTCAATAAATTGTGTTTTATAAATAATACAGTATTCATATACCCTGTACACATGAGAAACCCTACAAAACTCTGTCCACAATGCTGATAATAATTATATACCTAATTGTTTATCTATCTTATACATGACAGACAGGCAGGTGAATACTTACTGGTAGAACATGGTTGTAACGCTTGACGCTGGAATCCCCAGCATCCCAGATCTCTAATCGAAATAAGATGAGACGGTTGCCAATCTTCATAGGCCAATATACATTACTACACTGGATTCCCACTGTTTCTATATGTTGACATGGTAACTGTAAAATGATTTTATAATAATTAGGTGTCAAAATATACTTAGAACATAAGAACATAAGAATGGAGGAAACTGCAGCGGGCCTATTGGCCCATACTGGGCAGTCCCGTTTACACCCAACCCCTATTGCTCATATAAGCATCCAACCTATGTTTGAAGCTATTCAGCGTATTCGAGTTAATGATGATATTTGGTAACTTGTTCCATTCATCCACTACTCTGTTTCCAAACCAGTGTTTACCTATTTCCCGCCTAAATCTAAATTTGTCTAATTTAAAACCATTGTTACGAGTTCGCTCCTGGTTGGATAGTTTGAGTACCTTTGTAATGTCCCCTTTGTTTAGCCCTGCTTTCCACTTGTACACCTCTATCAGGTCGCCCCTCGCTCTACGTCTCTCAAGGGAGTGCAAATTAAGATGCTTTAACCTGTCTCTATACTCAAGGTTCCTAAAGCCCAGGATTAGTTTTGTCATTCTCCTCTGAATTCTTTCCAAGGATTCTATATCCATTCTGTAATACGGTGACCAGAACTGAACTGCGTAATCCAGGTGTGGTCTCACAAGAGCAAGATACAGTTTTAGGATGACCTCGCTAGTCTTGTAACTAACACTCCTTTGTATGAACCCAAGTACTTTATTAGCCTTGTTACGAGCAAAAACACATTGTTTACTTGGCTTAAGGTTCCTACTTATCATTACTCCTAAATCTCTCTCAGTCGGATTTCTCTATGGCATCGTTGTTCATCTGGTATCTGGTTTCCCTGTTTACATCTCCTATACTGAGTACTTTACATTTGTCCACGTTGAATTTCATCAGCCATTTTTCAGACCATTCGAAAAATTTGTTTAGATCTTCCTGTAGTTTTGCCGAGTCCTCGTCAGATTTAATAACACGTCCTATTTTAGTGTCATCGGCAAATTTACTTATGTTGCTGTCTATGCCGATATCTATGTCGTTTATGTATATAATAAATAATAATGGTCCAAGTACTGAGCCTTGGGGAACTCCACTTGTGACGTTGCTCCAATGGGACTTAGTGCCGTTAATGCTCACTCGCTGTTTCCTGTCCTGTAACCACGCCCTAATCCATTTAAGGATGTTACCTTTGATGCCATGTTCTTCTACCTTTCTAATTAGTCTTTCGTGGGGGACTCTGTCGAAGGCTTTGCTAAAGTCGAAATATACCACATCATAATTGTGCCCCTCGTCCACCGATTCGAAAACTGATGAAAAGAATGTTAATAGGTTAGTTAGACAAGAACGTCCGCTTGTGAAGCCATGCTGGGAATGATTGATCAATCGGTGCGTCTCCAGGTGATTTCGAATAGAGTTTGAAATGATTGCTTCCAGTAATTTGTCTACTATTGATGTTAGACTGATTGGGTGGTAGTTAGAGGATAGTGATCTATCCCCCTTCTTGAAAATCGGTATTACATTCGCTATCCTCCAGGATTCTGGTACTACACCTGTTTTTAATGACATGTTAAACAACTTTGCTAAGGGCATACTAAGCTCATCCTTACATTCCTTTAATACTCTGGCAAATATCTCATCGGGACCAGGTGACTTATTAGGCTTTAGTTTGTCTATTTGCTTACTAACCTCGTTACTAGTCACTACTATCTCGCTTAATTTGTTTTCTTCACTACCTCTGAATAGAGTCGGTGCCTCGGGTATCATGTTTAAATTTTCGGTGGTGAAAACTGTTGAAAAATATTTATTCAAATTATTGCTCATTTCTCTGTCGTTATCAGTGAGCTCGCCGGCGTCGGACCGTATTGGTCCAATCTTTTCTCATGTTTTAGTTTGATACATTTGGTAGAATCCTTTGGGGTTTGTCTTTGCTTCCCTTGCTATCCTTACCTCATTATTCCTCTTTGCTTTCCTTATCTCGGTTTTAACCCTACTCGCCAATACCCTATAATAGTCCCGGAGGTGAATTTCGCCACGATTTATCCTTCTACCTATAGCCTTCCTTTGGCCGATGATGTTCTTTAAATAATTATTTATCCATTTAGGGTCATTGTTGTCTGATCTGAGTTTTTTGTATGGTATGTAATTTTACCTTAACTGTGCCTGAATGAATATATTCTCGGAAATAAATAGTAGTTTTGCTGAAACGTGATGTATTTTAATGTAAAATAGGATAAAATACATGAAGAAAACACAAGATTTTACCTAACCTTCCGATGTTCAAGAGAAGTTACTCGTTTTTTTAATAGTTTTTGGTTAAAATATTGTTATATTACAATGGTATTCTATTCATACTGTGCTTGATATAATGCATTCACGGAAATGTAATATTTTTGCTGAAATGACGTACATTACAGTGGAAAGTGGGATAAAATCGTGACGAAAACAATGACTTTCGCTTTCTTTCGTTCAAAAGATGTTACCATAATCGCTTTTCGAATGGTTTTCAGTTAAAAAACTGTTGTATTACAATAATATTCTATCCTAATTGACTTGAATAAATACTACGATACCATATTTCGGAATATTTTCATTAAAATTCATCAAAATCATTTTCCTTGTCATCGTCTGCAGCACCAAACAGCTTCTCCCAGTCCTCTCCTTGATCAGGGCTAGAGGCTACGTGTTTTTCTAATCGTTTTCAGTTAAAAAACTATTACATCACACGTATATTTTACCTAAACTGCGCCTGAATGAATATATTCTCGGAAATAAATAGTAGTTTTGCTGAAACGTGATGTATTTCAATGTAAAATAGGATAAAATACATGACGAAAGAAAAAGACTTTACCTAAGCTTCCGATGTTCTTGAGATGTTACTCGTTTTTTTTAATAGTTTTCGGTTAAAATTCTGTTATATTACAATGATATTCTATTCATACTGTGCTTGATATAATGCATTCACGGAAATGTAATATTTTTGCTGAAATTACATACGTATTACAGTGGAAAGTGGGATAAAATCATGACGAAAACAATGACTATCGATTTCTTTCGTTCAAAAGATGTTACCGTAATTGCTTTTTGAATGGTTTAGTTAAAAAACTGTTGTATTACAATAATATTCCCTCCTAATTGACTTGAATAAATACTTGAATGGAATTATACAATATTTTTGTTGAAACTACCCGCGTTTCAGTGTAAAGTGGTGTAAAGTGTCGTGTCGTAATAATAAATGGTAAACAATTTGCCTTCAGCACTCGGTGTTTCGGGCACGGCGAGCCTCAGTTTATAGGACGTAGAGCGTTTTTACTGAAGGTTTTGTTGTTCCATTACCCTCAAAAACGTGGGTCGACCTATAAACGAGGAATATCATAAATTAACAATTTCTTGGTCAAAAAATCAGGGTCGACCTATAAACGAGGGGGGGTTATAGACGAGTATATACAGTACAGTACTGTATATTACAGATTGCTCATGTAGCTAAATGTGTTGCACAGTTTTTTAAAGTTATTTAAAAATGCAAAGGGGCCCTGCAGTGATTGAATTGCCCCAGGGCCCGCACCCCCCGCCTGGGAAGATATTGGAAGCATAATGCGTTGTCTAATGGTAGACCCTGCTGCCATATGGCATCACAAAAATTGTAACCACGTCACAGGTTGCTGATCTGACTTTCTGCCTCATTTACACACAATTGCAGGGTCTCAATTGTTAGCCGGAATCCCTCAAACCCGGAACTCTCCGATAGCCGGAATTTAAATTTTCTCGGATAATCGTTCCCGGTCGGAATTTTCCGGAAAATTCCGGCTTTGGGAACGATTTTCCGAGGGGCACATTTTCCGGAAAATTCCGAGAAAATTTTCCCGACACCCGGAAAATTCCAGGGATGGGGGAGTTTTTTCCCAGGTTTGAGAGATGAAAATCAAGCGCATTTTCTGGAAATTCCGAGAAAATTTTTCCGTTACCCGGAAAATTCCGGGGATGGGGAATATTTTTCCGAGTTCAAGAGATAATGTAATGGGCAATTTCTGGAACTTCCGAGAACATTTTTCCGTTACCCGGAAAATTCCAGGGATAAGGGATATTTTTCTGGGTTCGATAGATGATGTAATGGGCAATTTCTGGAACTTCCAAGGCATTTTTCCGTTAACCGGAAAGTTCCGGGGATGAGGGATTTTTTTCCGGCTTTGAGAGAGTCGCTTCGTTACCCGGAAATCTCTCATTCCCAGAAGTGCTCTGCACCAATTGTTCGGGCTAACGGGGATATCACTATCATTTCTCACTCCATATTTTTTAATTTTTTTTTTTATTATTTATGGCTCTTTATTATTATTAATATTATTTATAATTTTTATAAATTAGTATTTTCTTTTATTGTAATCGTAATTTATTTTTATATATTTTTATTAATTTTATTACTATTACTGTATTATCATCATCATAATTATTATTATTATTTTATATTTTTGCCCCCCCAGGCCTTGATGTGGGTCATTAAAAATGACCTCTGCCCGGGTGGGCTAATACCCGTAAAAAAAATAAAAAAAAAGGATGGCCCCAGTAGCAGACAATGATCCCATTACTGGATATGCTAGCCACGTCTCCTAATTATATTGTACAAAATGACATCCATTATTGGGAATATCTAGTACATTATTAAGCGGTCTAATATTGAGAGGATTTACTGTACACTTGTACTTACCAAAGGCAGTGATAATCTTTGTATGATACTGTGTATACAAAATAAAAGATTGTGGCACATGATTATAAGTTGGCTCCTGACAATTATTTTTTATTATTAATTGCTTCATAAATTTCTGCAAGTTTATAAATTCCTTGATAGTTACTGACACATAATTACAAACAACACTCACTTCCTGTCCTGAGAGTCGATTCATAGTCCATGTCTTCCCAGAGGATGCTTTCCCAAACATGAAAATTTTATATGTCACGCTTGGAGCAGATGGTGGTAGGTTGGGTTTTTCCAGTATTCCTATAAATGAAATTAAATCCAAATAAATAAAAAAATTCGTCTCCTGATCACTTTTGCTAATGATGTAATGACATATACAGGTTGTACCTCTCTAGTCCGGCATTCTGTGGTCCAGAAACTCCCGTGGTTCGGCACGATTTTAGTTTGTCCAATAGGTAGATAGGCAGCTTTTTTTTTTTTTTTTTCTGATTATTATTATTATTACAGGAGTATTAAATTTTTGCCCCTCAGGCCCCAATGTGGGTCAGTGACCTATGCCCGGGTGGGCTAATCCCCATAAAAAAAAAACAACAACAAAGCCGCGGGAAATTAAGGTTTGTTTACATCCGGCAGTTCGGCTGCTCTCTCTCTCTCTGCTTGTCTATACAGAGTACAACATTTAACCCTTCAATATATATGAGCAGTAAATAAGTGTTGCTTTCATATTCTTATGTAGAGTAATGACGATATGTTTTCACATACGCGCAGTCTCACTTTTTTTCTTTACCATTAATGGTTAGCTACTTATATTGTTCCATTTATTACATTAAATAACATTACTTCAAACAAGCATATTAATTTTTTTACATTAATTTTACTACAGCTACAATCAGGGTCTTATTTTCTTCAGTTTTATATGTAGAACCAATCAGTCACTGGTTTTGTAAGCATTAACGAAAACAATGCCGGCAGCCATCTCGTCTCCTCGTGTTAATATTCCACGTATTATTAATGAATTGTATTGTTCATTTTGCACACACAAACATTAATTCAATAAACAAAATTCAGAAACATTAATTAAAATATATATGAACGGTAAATTAGTGTTGCTTTCATATTCTTATATAGAGTAATGGCGATATGTTTTCACATGTGCGCACTTACATACGCGATCTCTCCTTTTTTCTTTACCATTATCGTTAGCTACTTCTATTGTTCCATGTATTAACATTAAATAACATTACTTAAAACAACCATATTAATTTAACTACAGCTCCAACCAGGGTCTTATTTTCTTCAGTTTTTTATGTAGAACCAGTCAGTCACTGGTTTTGTAATCAACGAAAACAATGCTGTCTCATTTCCTTGTGTGTTTTAATATTCTACGTATTATTAATGAATTGTATTGCCCATTTTGCACACATAAACATTAATTCAATCAAAAAGACATTCAGTAATAAACAATAATGAATCTTTTGTACATAAGAGAAATGACGCTGTTTACATGATTGTGCTCGTCGTCTGAACGTTGGTGGGCCGTTCAAACACGTCGAAATTTGAGTTTCCGCCGTCAAAATTTTAAATCGTTTTATTTTTTGGTGTGTTCAAATAAAAAACGTCAAATTAAAATCTCGCAAAATTTGAGAAGCTACTGTACGACATTTAACCCTTCAATATGTCTTCAAAGAGACCATGAAGCAGAGAAAGTGGTGCTAGTGCTTCCAAGCATAAGCTCAAGTCACTATCTATCCAGGAAAAGGGTGAATTTCCATGGTCCGGCAATTTCCATGGTCCGGCACCGGTCAGGTCCCGAGGTATATGATTGCATTTCAAAAGTATTTTATGACTTAGTTTTTGTCTACAATTGACATTTTTATTAAAAGATTTTAATTCTGAAGTTTAATTTAATGTAAACAAAAGTAAAACTTTTGATACTTTACAAGTTATTATTAGCAGTAAAATTCGATTTAAAGTGGTTGGCTTCAATGGTTATTCAATAAATATATTTGCCAACTAGACATAATCCTGACACCTCTGTCCTCTTGTTCCACCTTAATACAACCCATGTTGTACTGCTTCCCACCTTTATCATATTTATGTCTTTCAATTACACTGTGTATTATGTATATACAGTACTTATAATATAAATGTAAAAAAAAATAAATAAAAAAAAATAAAAATAAATAAATATCAAAGTGATAACTGTGGTAACATTCTGATATGTTCTTATTACAATCATGTTATGTACTATTCCAGTTGATATTAAATGTTACATAATACTTCCTTCAGATAAATGTACAGTACAGTATACAGTATATCAGGTGCCTACAAGAGAGCTCAGGCTCTCAACTGGCTCAGCCATGTTAATATTATGATTTTTAATCGACTTTGTATCTGTGTTCTTCTGGCTAAATAAATTGTTTCAATATCAATATTAATAGGTGACCCTATCAAATATTGCAGGTTTTCTCCAACATGTACTGGGTACAGTGTTGGTATTGATACTGATATTGAAACAGTTTATTTTGCTAAGAAAAATATACTGTATACAGTATACAGACATATAAGGCATTTTAAGATGCACGGAATAGCTAACGCGTTAGCTTTCCCGGACTTTCATTAAAAAATACGACATTGGACCGTGTCTTGGGCATAACTGTTGTACAACACAGTCTTCAGAAAATAATAAAATTAGGAGAACTGTTATTTGGACACAATATGGAATGAAATAGTGAAGAAAATATATAGAAAATTATGGAAAGAGACAAAAAAAGGAAAAAAGTCAATCAGTCAACAATAACTAAGAATAACACCAAAAATCAACCACATTGTAAAAGTAATTTCTCCCAGACTCTGAAACCACACTATCCAAAGACCATCTTTCTCTCGCGGCTAGGTGTTCGCATATTTATACACGAAATACGACAAATTTCAGGTTCGTTAAAGCCTTAATTTTTGCACTTATAGAACTGTAATCAACTTGTTCACCCTTATTTAAAGCATCTTACGAGTAATGATATTAAGGTTTCAATCATACAGTGGTCCCTCGGTTAACGAACACAATTCGTTCCAGAAGGTCGTTCGTTAACCAAAAATTTCGTTAACCGAAACCATTGTTTCAATGGGATTTTGGGTAATTGGTTCCAGCTCACCGAAAATTACATACAAAGTAAAAATAAATGCAGTAAAGTACACTTACTTTGAGGTGTGTATGTAGAAGGCTCCTGGTTGATGATGATGATGATGGGAATTAGAAGTGGGGGTGGAGGAGAAGGGAGAAGAGAAGGAAGTGGGGTGGAAGAGAAATCACCCTATGTTTGATGCCGTCATTTCACCCATAAAATTTTAAGTTCACTAGGTGTAATTCAAGAATATTTTCTTTAAATCACACTGCACTGCACTATATATTGTCAATATGTAAAATAAATTTCAGAATGACCAATAATTGTACTGTAAAAATGTAAAAATAGTTTATGTTCAAGAGAGTCTCAAGCAAAATGTTACCTCTACTGACCAGAGATACAAACTGATGCCTGTTTGGTGAGTTGAGTGGCTGTTTGGCGCACTAAAAACTAGTTTCCTGTACTTCAATTATGTTAAATAAATGTTAAAATGACTAAAAATTCTAATATAAAACTTGGAAAATTATTAAATAGTACAATCTTCTTGATATTTACTCAAATGGGAACGAATTTAAGCCCTAGAACAGATTACTGTATTGGCGGACTAATATTCCTGCTGGTGAGCAAGCGAAAACATGTTGAGAGGAATTCGTTAACCAAATTTTTTTTGTTAACCGAATTGAATATTCTTATGGAAGGTAATTCGTTAACCGAAATTTCGTTAACCGAGGCGTTCGTTAGCCGAGAGACCACTGTATTTGAGTAATTATCAAAATTGTTACACCAACATCACCAACGGCTTATGCAATCGGACAACACCCACTTATAAAAGGGCGAAGCCAAAACAAGTTTCCACTAGGCACGATTCTTTTCAATTCTTTCACGCCGTACGCTTTGTTCTAGGTCCTATCCAATATACTATTGCATATAGAATTATTTTTATTATTATATCACAGATTTTTATTGCCATACATGCCCCCAACTCTTCAATATTAATCAAAACATTCTCCATTAGCAGCCATGATTCGCATTCACCCACTGGAGAAACTCGCTGACCGGTTGTTAGCTATTCAGGGCGCTGCTGCACACGCTAATATCTGATTGAGGCGTTTGCTTTTCTCTCTGAAGGTGTCATGCGCAGACACAATAGCTAATGCGTTAGCTATTCCGTGCATCTAAAACGTCTTATAATAAACACCTATACACTGTACTGTACTGTATATACATTGACATGGCTGAGCCAAATGAGAACCCAAACTCATACATACTTAAAATTTTATACCTTATATCTTGTTTGTTTGTTTTGTGTTTTAAGTTTATGTATGTAGGACTGTGTATGCATGTAAATGAGTAAAAAAAATACTAGCTGAAAATAGCCAGAACATATAACTCACAGGTGGGTAATGGTTGGAAATTCCTTGCTCAGTTCCAAAACAGAGCTGGATTTTGGAGCACCAGGATGCTGGATACATGATCCCATACCTGTATTTACCCTGCCATTAATTTATGGGAAGGGTTTGTACTCACTCAGATGATGATTAATTCATAAATTTTAGTTTTTCAACTTACCAAATAATTTTCTCTTATTTGTTCCTGGTACTAACAGCTTTTGTTGGTAGGTTTTGCTCTCTCCAACTGCCCATTCTGGAGCCATTTTCCCCTGCTATAGCAATATCTGCAATAAATTACATTTATAAATACTGTACTGTACTGTAACAGCTTGAAACCTATTTTTCAAAACTTAATACGAAAAATGCTTATCTTTATACTGACAACAACTCTTCAGATTAAAACAAAAGTTTGTACTTTACAATATACATGTTAACATTTGCATATGCATGAAAAGCTACTGTATCTCTAGTACTGTACAGTACATGTACCTCTATAGATACTGAAAACAAATCCAAATATGAATATTACCACATAATACAAATAAAGTACACTACAGTACATTAAGTACAAAATAAAATGATCACAAATATAAGCTTTACATCCCATGTTACCAAAGCATCTGTTGGGTTCAACATTTATTCTCTGAGAATTTTTTTTAGGTACTAATGAGATCAGCGTTTCAAAGAAAATAGTCACATTTTTCCCAAGTCTAATGTAAAGTTTTAGTGTACTTCCTGTTATAAAAACAAAAATAATACATTACAGTACAAGAGTGCTTAATTTGTAAAATTAGTGGTAGAACACTAGTGAGCCAAAGACAGATGCTGGGAAGCAGTGACGGAACCTGTGGAACTGACAAGTCACTTAGTATTGTTATTACATTTACAATTACAATTTACTCATTCAAAAAAAAGTATATACAGTCAGTCCTCGACTTAAGACGGGGTTAGGGACCGATGACCAGGTCGTAAGTCGAATTGGTCTTAAGTCGACAATGCGAAAATAATACATAGTAAATCTAAAATGGGTGTCTCTTTTTCTTCTCAGCACCACGAGAACTCTCACTTTTATGCTTGCCAGCCATTTTAAAGGGAATGACAAACGAAAAAATTTTCAGTACACAGAGCGATCACTAACGTCAGGACTCGAAAATACGTAATTTGAAAAATATTTTATACGACTGCGGCGGTCGGATGTCCAGGTGGTCGTAAGTCGAATAGGTTGTAAGGCAAGGAGTACCTGTACTGGAATGCCATTCCAGTACATTCTCGCACAAATTAAGCAATGTTGTATATAATTTCTTCTTTGTTTATCGCATAATAGGATGACCCCATTACAACTAAATTTGGGGAAAAATGGCACAATTGTCAAATTAGGAGTAAAATGGCACCAAAATTTTGTCACTAGCTTAACCCTTGTGTACGATGTCACCTCCGAGCCGAATAAACTCATCTGGCATTAGCCAAATATCAAAGGTGACCCTATAGCGAAGGAGTTAGGGAGAGGGGGTCAGGTCCCCTAACCTGACGTCAACGTAACCTAACCTTTTCTCACCTAACCTAACCCAATGAAAATCTAATCTTTATCTGACAGTCCAATAATCACATCAAGAAATACCTGTACAGTATAAGCTTTGACCTAACCTAACCTAGCCTAATTTAATCTACCCTAAATCCCTCCCTTTCACCAAGTGAAATTTTCTTTGAAAGTTGTGCCATTTTTTCAAAGAACCTTACAACCATTTGTTGTATATAAGCATTCAAGTACAGTTACAGTACTGTTGGACCCTCAAGTGGTATGGCATGATGATTTTAATTTCAAAGGTTTGTTTGGTGTTCTTTTTAGTATTTAATGCACACATTTCCCCTCTACTTCAAAGCCCTGCCCACTTTGAACAACCAATATTATTGGTAATTGGGGGGAGGGGTCATATTGATTAAAATACTCGAAAAATACAGTATAATTTTGCGATGGAAATGGAATAAAATAAAGTACAGTATTTTATTTTTTTTTTTACCTAAACAAATCTTTACCTTATTTTTTGTGTTCGCTAATTTATTGATTACCATTAAAAAAAATTTATGGTAATGTATGAGAACACCGCTACCAACAGAAGGAGCTGTTCGATTTTGTTCATTTTTCCACATGTTCTTATCACCATTGTAAGTATTTTAAAAGAGGCGACATTTCATAGAACCTAATAGAATGTGTAACCAGCCAAAGAAACCTACCTAATTTCATAAGAGACCCCCAGACCCCCCCTGCCATATTAAGCAGAAAGTACTTATTATAATATCTGGTACCAATGAAAATAAATTTGTCGAAGCATCGTGGTGTAATTTATGTTTTTTGTGGAAGTGAGAGTATGCTCGGACCAAGTGGGTCAGTTGTAAACAAACAGACAAGCTGTGACTCAAATATTTTGGAGGAGTATTTACAGTAAATAATTAATTTCTTCATGTACAAAGCACATAGACACATAGTTTTAGTGTCATATGATCAGTTTTTCACCGTGTTTTACCCTGAAATTTCCCTCATCCTTCATGCCCAGCCCACTACAGGTGATTTATGATCGTTGTAACCGCCTTGGTTAAGGACAGCCGGGTGACGGGCAAGTCGAAGGGAACGATTGAAACCCGCCTTTTGACGCACTCGGTATTTATTGATATGGTCAAAAACCTGCAGAGAACAAGGCGTTCATTATTATTACATGGTGATCCATCTGATACATAATTTGTTAGTCTCACCCAATTTTATCTTAACTACATAAGGTCATTAAACATAGTGACATACTGTAATTCAAATTCAAAGTACAAAACTCTATTAATCTTAGTTTCACTTCACTCCACATTGTCTTATTGCTCCAGATAAGGCAGGAAACGAGTAGGCACATTATTCTATAACATCAGGTTATTACGAGCATAATTAGTCCACAATATATCAGTACCGAGGGGTACATCATCAAGTAGGCTGTACTTACAAGTGAGGGTCGATGTAAATCATACCGATGTAAATCAGTATGGTGTTCCAAGAGACAATAATACTGTGCAAATTGTCTTAGCACAAAACTCAGGGACAGGATTGTGAGTTGGTGTGTTCACTACACTCGATGGGGTTGGGTGATATACTGTGTGCCAGAGGTGTCCCGAGCCCTTATCCACGGTCATAACAACAAAATGCTTGTTCTATGGCTGCGGTGTTTACAAACATCTGGTGAGGTCACAGGTCGCTCGGCCATATGGAAGTCACAACAGCCGATCAGTGAAGAGGATAAAAGTAAAAAGTACAGTCTATAAGGGAGGTCGCGGTGTATATGGCCGTAGGCTGAGAGATTTATGTTTAAGTAAGGTGATACTCGTAGATGGCATATCGGTTGAGGTGCTGGCTCAGTGCTGAGTGGAGGTGCTGAAGGCAGCAAAAGCCAGCACTGTGTAGCTGAAGCCAGCAGCAATAACAATCGTAGATAGAGAAAAAGAAATAAAATAAAAATACATTTAATTAATTTAAAAAGTTGATGCCTCCTTTAAAATACTATACAGCTAAATTGGGGGATTTTACAACAGCATGTGTTTTTTGTTTTGATGTTCATCTTCTAATCTTACTATATTTTCATCAGTGAGTTCTGATATAATAATTTTTATGGAAATTGCTTAGTTTAGTGGATAATTAGGCGACTAGAAACACACTACTTTGTCTTTCTCTGCGTGATGCGGTGGTACCCAGCCAATATCTCCTATTGACACCAGTCGCCAGTGTATGTTTGGGCGGCTGCTCTAACGTCTACAAAACACTTAAAATTACACCATATAATAGTAAGTTCTTTCTGTTTAATATACCGAGGGATCCGGAGGGTTGAACCTCATGGCTAGAAGTTAGGTAAGGTTAGGTAGGTTTCTTTAGTTATGTTGGTGAGGTGTTCTAACAATGCTTCTGTCGCTTGTTTTTCACATCAACTAAGGTTAGGTTAGATTTAATTTTGAAATAACCACTTTTAACACATTTTCCATAGCTATGACAGTGTCCACCATCATACACAGTAAAATTGCGGCATATTAAAATTCGTTTTTTATGAAAAAAAGCTGTGGTTGTAAATAATTACCTACTTTACTTACTTACTTACGAAAGCGTGGAAAAATTAATGAAATTGAACAACTCCTTCTGATGGTATCCATGTTCACATAAATTACCAAAAATACATTGCAGTTTCAAAACCACACAACTACCAATGAATAGCTGAAAATGTAAGATTGTAGGTCATAGAAGAAGTCTTAGAATTGTCTAAACTATTGTTGGCAAAGATAGAATTCAGGAGATTCAGTTGGTGGCAACAAATGCAGGTAAAATTATCCTTTCAGTCATCCACCTTTTTGTTAGTTGTTTAAAACATATAAAAAACTATCGGAAAAATATAATTTCAAACTAACCTAACCTAAACTTAAAATCCGATAATTTGAGCAAAGAGTTGAAGGACATTCTACAATCTGGGTATTTATTTCGCAGGCTTTCAGCACAGAGTGAATGTTTTGGTTTCATGCTGGCAATTACGCGCAGTACAATATAGCATAACGTTAGATATTTAGCACTGGTTAACGTGTAGATTAATGCTGCCAACTATTCTAGCATGAACACTGCTTTTCTACCATAATTTTGTTTTTAATTGCTAGTGACAGTGTTACCTTTAATACTATAATACCATTGGCAAGCCCGTCAGCAAGTGCGTAGTGTGCACTACCATGCTATATAATACATGACCCAGCTCTGAAAAAATGGCATTTCCCCAATAGCGGAATATGTTACGTTAGGTTAAATAAGGATAAGTTAAATACCTATACTGACATTATATAACTACTCGCGGGGGGGGGGGAAGGGAGGCGAAAACCCCCGCTAGGGGGGTTAGGTCAGGTTATGTTAGGTTAAGTTAAATAAGGAAAACATTAGTTTTTTTCCCCCAGAAAAACTATCTCCAATAAAAAAGCAGCAAAATTCATACAAGAAAAAAAATGCAGGCGAAATCGCTCGCAGCGCTTACGTAAACGTTTACCTTCTCATTTTACGTATTTCACAGAACACCATCACAACACTGACAAATTGTTCCAATTATCATGCAGAACGAACATAAAGAAATACTTCTTCCCAGATATAGGGTGGAAGACGAATTAAAAGCTGTGGAGTAAAGAACAGCAATAGGCTTCAAAGTTGTTCTTGACAAAATTATCAAGAACAATGTAGGGATTCTCTGTACACAAGCCACGGGTCTCCAACTAATTACCCAAATGTTGCCGCAATGAAGTCAAATAATGGTCCTACATGAATAAATCGGACTGCCAATCACTTCTTGACTAGTATTTGGTGTCACAAAGTCACAAAAAATTGGTAAACTTAATTTAATCTGAGTTAATAGATCGAGTGCATGTACCTAACCTAACCTAACCTAACACAACTCAGATTAAATTAAGTTAACCAATTTTTTGTGACTTTGTGACACCAAATACTAGTCAAGAAGTGATTGGCAGTCCGATTTATTCATGTAGAACCATTATTTGACTTCATTGCGGCAACATTTGGGTAATTAGTTGGACCGGGGTGGCCACTTGGTACAAAGGTAAATAAACTTTACGGAAAAAGTTCAATATCAGCCATGTGTACAGGTGGGTTTATTGACGGTCAGCACTCATCAAACCACTCCCTGGTTTAGATACCGGGGCCATATTTATTGATTTATTTATTTATTTATTTATTTATTTATTTATTTATTTATTTATTTTACCACTTACTGAATCAGCTAACTAGCCGTCGGTGTGTCTGTCCATGTTGTGTTAGTAGAAAAAGAAACCTGTGATGTTCAGTTGGGCGGGCAGGATTCGATCGGAAACTACGGCATGTTATTTTTACTTTTAATCTCTGATCGGCTCGTTAGTCGCTTGGGTGATAAGTCATGACTTTGTTGCACACTGTTAGCAAATAGTACCAAGGAATAATATTATTGCTTGGCAAGTACTCGCTCCAGAATGTATCTGTACCTGCGCCAATTTTGGTCAAATCGGCTGGTCTTGAATGACCTCACACTGCACTGTCATACTCTGGCAGTGACAGAGTGTTACAACTTCCCAACACTCCGAAAACGTGAAAATTAATGTAATGAAATAACACCATACCTATATCAAAGTTATAAATTTACCCTTATTTTTTTACTGCCGATTCCTTGTATCAACCAATTCAGGACTAGTACAGCAGCAACGAAAGTCTTCTCAGCCATAAATATCATAGGTTCGAATCCTGGCCCAGTATACACGTGGTGAAGGTGTTATCCAGGATGACTATCTAGCTCAGGGGTTTTCAAACTATGGGTCCCGACCCTTCAGTCGGTCGCGAAATAAATAAATTGGGTCGCAAAATAAAAATGGGTCGCGAAAATAAATAAGAAAAAAAATAAAATGGGTCGCGAAAATAAATAAGAAAATAAAAATAAATGCACCATAATTTAGGCTTGGTTATTGTAATGTACACTCCACAGTCTAGGAAGCGACTGCAAGGAGAGCAGTGTTTGTCTTTGATTTACTCATTTCATATCATTACACTTAGGTTTAATGGGTCGCAATTCAAATTGTTGTTCTGACTGTGGGTCGCAGTAAAAAAAGTTTGCACAGGTATGGGTCTTTTTGTAATCCTTTTTACTTTTTACTTTTATCCTCTTCGCCACTGATCGGCTTGTTAGCCGCTTGGGCGATCGGTCACGTCTCTTTTCCTTTATATTCTTCACCAAAAGGTCGGCTCGCTAGCCGCCCGGGCGATCGGTCACGTCTCTGTCACGCACTGTTGGCAAATACTGGGCATGCACCGGCTCCTGAATGTACCTGAACCCGCTCCAGTGTTGGTCAAGTCTTCTCTTGAAAGAGCTCACACTCGGTGCCGTCACAACACTCTCTGGTAGATTGTTCCAAGAGTTTACAACCCTCACTCCGAAAAAGTTTGCCCTCACGGTTTTCCGGACTTGCGGCTTCTTCAATCTTGAGCTGTGACCCCTTGTGGGGCGAGCGTCCGCCAGCTCCAAGTAAGGACACTCAACTGAGTAGTGCCCCCTGAGATGCTTATAAACCTCAACTAGGTCCCCCCTTGCCCGTCTGTAGTATAAGCTAGGCAAGTTCAGGCGCTCCAATCTCTCAGGGTAGCTGAGATGCCGAAGTGCAGGCACCAGTTTGATGGCCCTCCTTTGAACATTTTCAACCAACTGACAGTCCCTAGCATATCTCGGGGACCAGATGGGGTGACAGTACTCCAGATGGGGAAGCACTTCACTCCTGAAGATCGTCACGAGGGACGGACCGTCTAGATATCTGAACGACCTTCTTATAAGACCCAATAATTTATTTGCCTGATTTACCTTCTTCTCACAATGGCCCGAGAACTTCAGCTCATTGTCAACATACACACCTAGGTCCTTCTCACACACAGTCTCAACTAGTACATTTTCTTCATCCCGTTGGGACATATGGTACGCCTCCTTACCGTTGGTACGCCCCAGGTGCATCCTCTTACACTTCGTGACATTGAATCTCAGCAGCCATTCCTTCGACCATTCCTGGAGCCCACAGAGGTCCTTCTGCAGCTCTTCACAGTCCGCTTGGTTCTTAATTTCCCGAAATAACTTGGCGTCATCGGCAAACATTTGTATGGAGGAGTGTACAACGTCAGGCATATCATTTATGAAACAAACAAACAACAGCGGGCCCAATACACTACCCTGTGGTACCCCACTTGTTACAGGTACAGATGACGATTTCGTGCCATTAATCACCACACATTGCTTGCGGTCATGTAGAAAGTCTTCTATCCACGCTAGGACATTTCCCCGAATTCCGTACCCTTCCAGTTTGATTTTCAGCCTTTCGTGGGGTACACTGTCGAAAGCCTTGGCAAAACCTAGGTAAATATTGTCGATATTACCACCCCGTTCTAGAATATGGGTCCAAATATCCAATACCTTGAGCAATTGTGTCAAGCAAGAGCGCCCCGGCATAAAACCGTGTTGGCAATCTTTTACAAGGTTGTTTCGTAGTAGATGTTCCATCGCTGCATCTCTGATAATACTCTCAAGTACTTTACATATTATGCTGGTCAGGCTCACCGGTCTATAGTTGTTCGTGGAGTGCCTATCGCCCTTCTTGAAGATAGGACTCACATAAGCCACTTTCCATTCACTGGGGACCATTTGTTCATCCAGGCATTTACAAAACAGAATCTTCAGGGGCTCTGCAAGCTCGTTGCACAGCTCCCTTAGCACTCTAGGATGCACCATGTCAGGTCCAGGACTCTTATGGACCTTTAGCCATAGTACTGTAGTAATTTCAATGATTATGGTATATTCCTCCCTGTTTTTTTTAAGTGTATTTTCCTATAACAAGAAAAGTCCTCAATAATACTGAAGGCAGAACTTATAATTCTCCAGTGATTCAAACTTGTCCACATCCCATATGAGTTTTGCTAAACCAAAACAGGATGTCTATTTTGTCTGGGAAGTGAGGCAGTACTTTTATTTCTTTAAAAACTTGAATTAGTTTGGTAGCCCAAGGTAAGTAGGCATAGATCAAACTACAATTTTAGTTGCAGGATTGTACTGTACTGTATAGCTTAAATTCCTCCTACTGACTGTCAAAAGAATTAATTTGGATTATTAAAACAAATGAACACTTGCACTAGGAATTTGGTGAAACTAAAATGACCAGTGAGCACCACCCTCCTTGACTTTTAAACAGCGGCCATCATCAGTGGAAGTTACTGTGGGGATGGTGGTCTTCATCAGTGGACATTTCATGTTTTTTGCATTACATTTTTGTAATTTTTTGTGTACCGGTACAGGGAGTATGGGGTAGAGTAGGTAATCCATAGTCCACTGGTAAAGAGTTAATCCATTAAAACTCTGAAGTAACTATGATAAAATCATGTGTCAATAATTTAAAGCAGTGAATTTCAACCTTTTTCATCTCACGGCACAGTGAGCCAGGCGCTAAAATGGTCGAGGCACACCATCAGTATTTAAGGATAAATTCGATCATTTAAAAGAAAATGAATAAGAATGTGTTCATAATTTAAAAAAACTAATAATTTATTAATTTTATAGCCAAAAGTATATTGTTGATCATGGTTTTCAAAATAATTTGAAAGTTTTGTGCATATTTGTTATTACTACACATTGAAACAAGATGTCATTGAAAAAGATGCCATTCATTAAAAAATAATATGAAACGTTCAGATATAGATTGTATTCAAATACAAACATGAGTAAAAATAAAAGGACTTTGCTTACCGGTACATAAAAATATCAGTGGGAAACACAGGCTTGGTGTTGTCTCATGATGTTCCTTGTCCGAGGTCGAATGGTTGACCGGCATAACCTCAAGTCCTCCTCCAGTGTTTGAAGCCGCGACCTGTTCTTGCTTTTCTTTGTGTTCATAGCAGAGAAGCCAGCTTCACACAGATACGATGTTGAGAAAGGAAGAAGTGTTTCAATTGCCTTCTTTGTAATGATGGGGCATTCCTCTGGAAGGGACAACCAGAATGAAGTCATATCTGTTGATAGGTGCTGCAGTTTCAATCCTCTGTCGTTTCTGATTTCCGTCAGCTCATCCTCTTCGGCAACGGTTAATCCTGCTGACTCACACGCACTTACCACAAACGGATCTCTCGCCCAGTCCAAGGAAGATACATCAAGTGATGGGAAATACTTTTAAATTTTTTTACTCAGTAGCGACAAACTTTGTAGAATTAAAGTCTGCAACCTTTTGTCAGTTCAAACATTTCAACTTTGTTCTCTTTTTTATTATGGCTCCCCACAGTGCTATCCAAATGCTATTTAAACTCCCGTGGCACACCTACGGATGCTTCGCGGCACATTGGTTGAAAATCACTGATTTAGAGCAATGCATATCAATACAGTATTAAAGCTATATTTTCTCAATTCTTGTACAATGCAGAACTTCCTGGGTCTTGGTGATGCTGACCAGAAGGAACAGGCATGTACTTAAGCATGACCTCTAACAACAGGAAACAGAAGAGATGAAGTTTCTTTTATGATTGAGGAAGGTTTTGAAATGAGATCTAATGAACTAGGGTTGACCTGTATGAATCAGCAAGTCTGAATCCTTGCTGACTTTTAAGCCAGCCATTGGTGCATGGCGTCTGATAATCCATTTTTTCCACTATCTGGCTAACACACTTGGATAATATAACCTCTATTAAATTATAGTACAGTATATACTCTCTCAGGACAGTAAATGGTAGCAGTCTCACAGGGCACTTTCAGACAACCCACAGATCATTCAGGTCAATTTTAAAATTAATTACAGTATAACCATTTTCATGAAATGAAAACGGTCTTGTTGCTATAATTGCTGATATTCTATTTTTTTCTGTACTTGCAAGAACATTAAATACTGATGTATTTTATAAAAAAATAAAGATAAGATAGTGCAAATTATTGGGAGAATAAAAAGACAGTGAAGGGTTGCCTTCTATTTCTTTACAAAATTACATATCTGTGTGTAAATGTTAATACATACTGTGCTTTTACATACAGTTACCTGCATAATTTGTACAATGTTATCAGGATATCCCAGTGTTTACTCTCCATAATAGCAAAAGTTAGTGGGCCAATAATCTTTTATGAGTTGCTGACAAATACTACTGTATCAAGAAGATGCTCTGGGCAATCTGTCTTAACTGTGACACATGATAACCACATAGAATTCACTGGCCAAGACCTGATGATATTACCTGTATGTTATTTATCTACTCACATTTGTGATTATACTGTAATTCACTGATCTGATTATTTTTTGTTTGTGTCCCTCATAGGTAAACCTACTGCCTTCTTAGAAATAACATACCGTACGCTTTCTACACAGTTCCTTATGTAATAACACCAATACATATTTCTGTAAAGTGGAATACACTCCACACTGATCCAGTCATATAGTATTCCAAATTCTTTTCCATAACATACTATTAACTGTAACTCCAATAACCAGTGGTGGGCACGGTTCCGCTAACCGATAATTAGCGAAGCTTACTTTCTCATTAGCAGATTAGCGTTTTC